TCCTGGAAGTGAAAATGTCTTGGCAGATTTGTTATCGAGACCAGAAGATGAGTCTGAGTTGCCCGAGGTCGCTTACGGAGTGCATGCAGTAGAACAAGACCCACTAAGACTTGCACGTAGGCAGAGGTTGGACGATACGCTGAATACAGTAATACAGGTGATCACCAACGGAATAGAAGTGGATCAAACTACGGCGAGTAAGGAGCTAACCACACTACTCAGACAGAGGGATCGACTCAGAGTGAATGCCTACGGGACTCTGACCTGGCGAGAGAACGACGGAAGCTGGCTGGCTGTCATACCTCAATCGTCGCGCCACGACATGATAGAAGAATGTCACCAGCTAGCGCATACAGGCGTGGCCAGAACGACCGATCTCCTAAGACAAAGTATGTACTGGCCAGGTATGAGAGAAGACGTAGCAAGATACGTACTTGGATGTCCACGGTGCCAGCTGATGAAAGGTGACCGGTGTATACGACCACCACTTCAGTCGATTCCAGTTACCGCGATAGGTGACTTGTGGTCCGTAGATGTCATGGGTCCATTTCCTCAGACATCCAATGGTAATCAGTACCTCTTGGTGATGACGGAACACGCGACACGATGGGTAGACGCCGTAGCAATCCCAGACCAACGTGCAAGAACCGTGACAGATGCAGTAGTTAGACACATTGTTGCAGACCACGGCGTACCGAAGACAATACTGACAGACCAAGGTCCCTGTTTCGAGAGTGAAGAGTTTACTTCCCGTTTGCAACAGCTGGGCATCAAGAGGATCAGAACGACCCCATACCATCCACAAACGAATGGCCTAACGGAGAGAAACAACCGTACACTGAAGGAGTGGCTGGCCTCGAAGGGCGGGAACTGGGAAACGGAGCTTCCACTGATTTTACTAACACATCGGGCTACCACTCAGGAAACAACGAAGAAGTCACCCTTCCAACTGATGTATGGTAGAAAACCACGATTACCGGTACACAATGAGACCTGGCCCATGCACCAAAAGTGGAGTACGACGAAATTAAAAGCAGAGAGGAAAGAGGCAGTCAAGAATGTAATACGGAAGCAGCGCAGTGATGTCATGAAGTCTCAGATGAAAGAAAGGACGCAGTGCATTACCTTTGCAGTCGGGGACCAAGTGAAGTGTAGAGACAGGAGATATACAGTTGGAGGCGGGCTAGGTTCACGGAAACTCCTTCCAAAGTGGGAAGGACCATACACAATCACAAAAAGACGGGGTCAAGTATATACCATCCGAAGAGGTGATAAACAGAAACGAGTTAACGCCAGTCAGCTCCAAAGATGGGTACAGTGGGACAAGCCGGTCAGTAACAATCCTCAACTAGAGGATGTAGCACCCAGAAGGTCGGAACGTCTGCGCACGAAGCTATTTGACGGGGGGACGAGTGTGGTGAGAGCAGGCTGCTAGCCGATTGGTTGGCACTAATCTACGTTAATGTCTAGGTCACTAATATGGGCCGTGAGAAAATATGAACAAGGCTGAGTCAACAACCAATCACAGCAAAGTTAACGTGGCAAAATATGATTCGCAGATAGAGAACTCTATTTGTCAAGGAATCCCGAAACAACCAATCAGAAGCCTGCGTTTGTCTACCTAACTTCTGATAAACAACCAATCAGATGACTGCGCTTGTCTATAATAATGTAGTTGAAATATGTATAAATACGTGTTGATTTTCATAATAAAACGATCTGTTGCTTCGCCCTTGTCTTCTGTTGTTACACCAGGACAGTTCAGGAGTCCTTAAGCCCCCTTCCGAATAAACTAACATATTCAATGCATTCTAGAAAGACTACTGCTTATTATCATGAACTGAATCTTATGCTGACGCAATTTTTCGAGTGTGCAGAAAGAAAACAGTTTTTTGTATCTGGGGGAGAATTGTGTATTTTGAATTTATGATACGATGCCACTGCAAATCTGTCAAATGAGATCCACGGGCAGCGCAGTGCAGTTGAGGAAAACGTCTGTTCAGATCATTTTCAGCATTTAATTTGATGAAGGTGGTGTATTTCCATAACTGTCACTACTTTCTCTTCCTCTGCTGGTTTCTTCTTTACTTGCCTAGAAATATAAAAATCAATATTGTGATTACCACATGTTGATTAAACCATGGCTCATACAAGTAAGTAAGTAAGTAGACGCGCACGCTTAACAATATTACCTGAATTTCTTTCCTCAGCTTCGAACGCCTCCGAACATGATCTTTCAAATTATGAAAGTATGATTTCGTGGCTTTGTCTAGAATGTCATCAACCTCTCTCGTCGGCATCAGTCGACTGGAGAATTTTGCCAAAATTACATCTATAGAGAAATAAGCACTTCATTTAATAACAAATCTTACATCTCATAATTTGATAGAAGGTATAGGGCAAAATGCTGGACTTTGTCATAGTTCCTTGAAATGTAAACGTCAAGCCAACTTCAGGTTTGAGAACAGTTCGCATCATCACTTTAAGTGACAACTTCGGATCACTTTGAAGACAGTCAAACATTTTACATGTCTACAAAACAATAATAATGATGATGAGAATTCAACAAGCAAACGAACATATATGCCCTTGAACTTTTCGATGCTTCCAGCTTTTCTAAGTGTTCTTCATTCTCAATCGGAAGCTTTAGTGCGTAATAATCGTTGGCTGAATGGTGGTGAGTTTGCCATCGAGATTTACTGTCAGTAGTCATAATGTTCAGCATTTTCGTACACAAGTTGATGATTTCCATATTTGTATCTTTCAATAAATAATTATATTTTTAAGTACTTACCGAGTACTTTCTTCATTATCATGGAAACATTGACGACAGCGTCGTTAGACGACAGTCTAAAGCAAGTATAGAAAATGTAACAATCATTCCTCCTACCGGTAAGATACACTTGTCGTCCTTTTACCAACAGGAGTTGAAGAATGAAAATTCGAAGCATTTGAAGTACTGAAAATGAATCGGTATTCAATTGGGTTTGAAAATACCTTGGAATTGTGGTTGCGAAGTCATCGAATATATTATTATGATCTACATATCGTGGCTTAATGCAACCAACTTTGCTAGCAGATATATCACTATCCCTTAAAATTATGTTAGACGCAGAAATCGGTACTTACCTTTTCGGTCTCATATCTACCTTTTTATTGCTTTGACCATACTTTCTCAAAAGCTCTACACACTTTTGACAACTCTCATACCCCAAGCTTACAAAAATTTTAAACTTATTCTAACCTATGCGTTGATAATGCCTTTTTTTGGTAAATGAATATTTTTTCTACCCACTATGTTCTGAAATAACGCTGGTCGTGCTTAAAAAGAGAGCTAGGTGCTTAATTAATGCGACAAATTCTTAAAAATAAGATCAGCATCTGAAATAATGCCTTAAGTGCTGAAAATAAGCACTGCATGCCTAGCTGCTGCGGTTAATACTGAAAAATAGCACGCTCTCTCGCTCTCTCGACATCGTCTATTGAAACCAACCAACCAATCAGCAAACAGTAGGTTTCACACAGAGTACGTAGTGTGACGGCTTCACACTTGTCTGTGAATTTCATGTGATGTGATTGGTCTATTTCACCAGAGGTGTGACAGTAAATATGAATACAACGAAAACATAATTCAACAGGGGGGTAAGGCAATGTAAATTGATAACATATGAAGATTGTAATGAATAATATATTTCGTTTGTGGAGCGTCCCTGAATTTGATTACAATTCAGTTGAGACGAGGTCACAAGTGAAAAAAGGATACTTGTCATAAGTGAAGTGTAAATTTTTTCGATTGCTGAGCTCAGTTTACGAGGTTATGTACTGAAACTTTGGGAATCCAAACGAAACAAGGTGGGGGTGATTGTGTTGATTCATAGACGAAAACATATACTTCCCATAAGGAAAATGTTAACAGTTGTGATAACAGTTCACCCGTCATCCCTTTTCATAAAAGTACGGATGTTTGCAGAGGTATATAAGCAGTACTCCGTACATACAGAGATCATTCTTACAGGATTTATAAATCATGCAGGTGAGTTAGATTTTGGGTGTATATTTCTCCAATTCTCTTATAAGGAAAACAACTCCGATAATGTGTTAAATACGGGTATTCAACATTCTACAATAAGTCGTAAGAGAAGAATATCTTCTGGCAGACTGCATGAATGCCTTGGATACAGCTACTCAATATTTTATAGCCGTCAAAAACGGTTACGTGATGCAGCATTTAGTGACTGGGACTTGTGGAAACGTTACTGCTCATCTAGAGAAGAGGTGGCAAGGGATAGTACAGTAACTTTGCCTTCAAGTTCAACTGTCCAGGGAACAGTGGGTTTACCTAGTACTAGTGAGACCGTCGCTGTTGTTTCACAAATTGAAGAGAATCGTAACTGAAGTTCATTTGACAGTTTATTCCGCGTTTTCGAGATATAGGTATATCCATGCTGTTATTGATTTTAAGCAACCTGATACATGATAAAGTAACAGCCGTATTTACACTTCATTACATATCCTTTTGCAGAATTCTACACCAATCAGATACCTCGTCGTCCGTTCGCTGGAAGATGACACTGTAGTCGCTATACCAAACACTTGGGTTATGCGAAGTGGTTTATGTGCGTACAGCAGCACAGCAAACCATCTAGAGCCTATGTTTACCGGGGTTGGATGGTCAGTGTTTCAATTCCGTCAACTGCAGGAATTTGGTAAGTTGGCATATTTCATTATCACCCTTCTAGATACGTATGAGAACTGTAAAAAGGGTGTAGAGCTTTCGAGAAGCAATGATCAAGGCACCAGGAATGTAGACATGGACGATGATACGTTGCCAATGCCTAGTAAGAGACCGAAAAGGTAGGTACCGTTGTCTGTCTCACACATTTTTCAGGGATGCCAAGAAAAATGATAAAAATTTCCTATACAACTCAATGGATATTGATGTAGCCGCCAGTGAGGTTGGTTGCGTCAAACCACAATATCCAGATTATAACATATTTGATGACTTCGTGGCCCCAATTCCAAGGTATTAACCTAATTGAAAGCCCTTAATTTTCAGTACTTCGGGTGCCCCCATATTCCAGTCTTCATCTCCTATTGGCAAAAAGACGTGTGTGTGTGACCGGTAGGAATGATTGTCACAATTTTTATTCATGCTTTAGATTGCCGTCTAACGAATATGCTACTGAATCCTCAATTAAGAAATTACTCGGTAATTACTTAAAAATAATTATTTATTTAAAGATACAAATATGGAAGTCATTAACCTGTGCACGAAAATATTGAACATTGTGACTACTGACAGAAAATCTCGACAGCAAACCTACCCTCCAGCAAATGGGGACTTAACACTGCAGTTTCCGATCGAGAATGAAGACCAGTTAGAGATGCTGGAAGCATCTTTAAGAGACGAAAAGTACAAACAGCAATATGTGAGTTGACGTATTTAATTCTTATTTCTTGTCGACTGCTAAGATGGCTAGCTGCCTTCAGAGTGATCCAAAGTTATCACTTAAGGTCATGATGCACCATGTTGTAAAACCTGAAGTGGGTTTGAAGTTTACATTCCAGGGGACTTTGACAAAGTCAAGCATTGTGCCGTATGCCTTTTATAAAATAATGAGATGTAAGTTTCATTAATGAAGTAATTAGTTCTCGAGCTTTAATTATGTCGCACTTCTCCGGCCAACTAATGACGACAAGAGAGATTGGTGACATGATGGATAGGGCCACGAGATCGTACTTTCATAATTTGAAAGATCGTGTCCAAAGGCGTCAGCGGAAGCAAGGAATTCAGGTAATTTTGCGAAACGCCTGCTTACTTCTATAAGTGAACGTTTATTCAACATGTAGTAATCACAACATTGTTTTCATTTTTAGGCAAATGAAAAAGATACCGGGGGATATAACAGTGGCACTTATGTAAGTAAACTTCTATAAATGTAAATGCTCAGAATGTTCTGAGCACAATTTTTCACCCACTAATATTTTATTTTGCTTATTTGCAGGATGCTGCCAGTGGATCGCACTTGACGGGATTGCAGCGACATTGTACTACAGTTTATAAATACAAAAGTCTCAATTATAAAAACTGATTTCTTCTTCAAACTAAATGAATTTCGCCGGCGTAGGACACAGGTGATGATAATAAGTAGAAGTCTTTTCGTTCTAAAGTAATGCGAGTCAGTGCTGAAAATGATCTGTGAAGGCTTGAATTAGGCTGAAAAAATTGCCACTATGTACTGAATTTAGTCTTTTCGTTCTAAAGTAGTGCTAGTCAGTACTGAAAATGTTCTGAAAGGGCTGAAATAAAGCTGATAAGCAAACCCGGTAGGTTCTGGTCCACTCCCGACAATGCTTAAAAGAAGAACACGGTGCTGAATTAGCGCTAGTTATGCTGATAACTAGCACTGAGTTCTAGTCTGTGCCATTAAACAAACGATTTCAGAACAAATTCAGAATTTACTCACTATAGGATGCTAGAATTATTTCAGAATTACTGAGATTTAATTCAGAATTATAACAAGATACGTACGTATCTAGATGGGTGATATTAAAAAAATACTCCAACTTACCAAATTCCTGTAGTTGAGACAATTCAAACACCAACCATCCACGCCCAGTAAACACAGGCTCTAGATGGCTTGCAATGCTGCTATATGCACATAAGCCACTTCTTAAAACCCAAGTGTTTGGAATAGCGAGTATGCTATCATCTTTCAGTAAACGGACGATAAGAAATCGAACTGATGTAGAATTCTGTAAAAAAGAAATGTGTAAAAGAACTGGAAATACGTCAGTATTTCCTAAACATGTATCACGTTGCTGAGCACGCCAACATGTTGATTAGTACCGCTGTCAATCAAACTATTTGAATGAGGCTGCAATTCCTCCTGTAGTTCAGGAGGATGGTTAACATTTTGTCGAAGAAATCTAGGTACACACATGCCACTATCTCTTAGTAAATCTGTTACAGTTGTTGGCACATATTAAATTTACGGAGACGGTCCAATATATCCTGTACACTATCTGCTGTAACATTTAATGATAAGAACAGTTCCATAATCGACTTTCTAACCAGCTCTTAGTATGTTATCTTTTTACGAAAAACCTGAGGCGCCCTGGATGAAAAACTTTGACCGTAACAAGCTGGATTCAGGAGAAACAAGTCATGTATTGATCAAATCTCGAACCTGTAGACGAACCTGCCTAATCGTGCGCCCTATATAACTACTCATAGCTGGTAGCACACACATTATGTGACTAATTCTCAACTGAATTGTAATCATACTTAAGGAGAAGGATAGACAACATGAGATCATAATTAAGAACAAAATATTCAACGAAGAGACCCTTTTCAACAAAGAATTTATTTCTCTATAGATTGGTTTGTAAGGGTTAGTTTTGTTTTTACGAGTTGATCACGGATTGATATCAGTTAGAGAAGCAATGAAAACAAGCACTGGAGTACTGGACAGCTGCTGTTTCATCCTAGTTTAGGAATCATCGGCAGTACGCACCCACTACCAGGGGTCGAACCCAGGACCTTCCGGTTACAAGCCAAGCTAGCTCGTATACCATTCAGCCACTGGGACCCGATTCACTGGCCAGTCCATGAATTCTAACTTCTACCAATTCATGAATTAGCGCGACCCCAACCATTGTCGTTGGTGGGACATCCATCCACACACATGATATCTAATTGGACCTCACTGGTCACAACTTCTCACTAGAGCTCAGGAAAATCCAACCTGTAGCAAGTCACTTCCTGGATTTCAATGGTTCTCTAACCGATATCAATCCGTGATCAACTCGTAAAAACGAATTTATTATCTAGCTGTACAATCGTATATATATAAATACGGTGTTTTTAAGAAATTATATCCGGTGACAGAATTGAATCAAAGGTGTGAATATATGAAATAATAATATATTTGTGATTATAATCATAGTTAAATGTCAAGTAGATATACAATCAATGTCAATATTTAATTGAATTTTAGATTTTCCCGTTGATTGATTGATTGGACCGAAGTGCTCGGTCTCAGGTTGACATGTCTGTCGGCTTCTTGTAGAGATGCTTCGACGATGTCTGGGCGTTTAATTAGTATTTAACTGGTGGATGGTGACTATCAATGGGGTCCAGGATGCGCACTTCATCCTGTTCAGGACCCGTCAGCTGTATGTAACTGCATTCCTTAATGAATAATGATGTGTCCCACCGAGGCTTGAACCCAATGCCCATAGTTTCAAACGCCACAGCGTTATCCACTAGATCACATCCAGTTGACGAGTCCCAAATAGGACGAAATGCGCTTTATCCTGGATTCGACTGCCAGTCACCATCCACCAATTAAATACTCATCAATATCACACATAGTACAATATATAAGGTGTATAGATGTTGGAAAGGGGCATATAATTATAGGATTAGTAGGCGAATACAAAATGTTACATAACGGGGTTTCAAATTTGAAAAGATAGAACTACATGTCGTTAAACTGAAAATAATGAAATGAATAAATTTAGGTTTAGAATGACAATTGTGACAAGTGGAAACAATTCAGAGTGAGAATAGCAATAGTAATAATAACAATGACAATAATAATAATAATCGTAGCCATAAGAAAAAGGTATATAGAATAACTAAATAAATAAATAAACGTTTATCCCTCTACCGCCAAGTCAGAGGTAGGGATGTTACATACTTCCTTTTTTGTACACAAAGGCCAGCATGACTTAAAGTCATGAAATGCCAAGGCTGCCGCTGTCTTTAGAAGTCTGTAACGAAGAAAACGCGGTCAGCAAGTTAGCATGGATTCTATATATGATCGGCATAGAGGTTGAAAATACATCTAATGTCAAGTATCTTGGGCTGAGTTTTTCCACCGATCTCTCCTGGTCCTCCCACATCTTGCTAGTTACTAGAAAGATGTTTCGCTTAACTTTCAACATTAGGATATTTAGGTAGTCTGGCATAAAGCAGTCTTTGCTTTCTCAGTTTGTCAATTCTTGTATTCTATCCATCCCCCTTTACTGCTCCCAATTAATCTTTCCTGGACTGCTTAAGAAAGACTTTGCTTTGCTGAGAAGGGCAGGCACTAAAATCCGTTAGTAGGTCAAGTGGGATATCGTTAAACCAACTGATTAACACTATTGTGGATAGACATATAATGTCATGTAAGAAACTAGCGAATACAACATTGTCGGACCCCGAGAATCCTCTCTATACACCGCTCTCCCTCCTTGCATTTCATCTGGTAGAACTAGAAGCAGCTACAGGAGGCTATATGCTAGGACTACTAAATACAGAAACTCCACAATACCATATCTGGCACAGCTGTTATGTGATGAGAAATCTGTTAGGTATGACACGATCAACTTACTGCGGCACTCCAACAAATAGTCCCATTAGTTTTGTTTACCTTTCTTCCTTACTATTACACTGTTGTTCCCATCTTCTATGACACATCAACTTTATATTTCATTTCCTGTGGTGCATTGTTTAAAATGTAAACGCAAAGCTGTTCTTCTATTTATTTTTTTTATTCATTTTCTTTTTTGGGGTGTTGCTTTTTGATTTTAAAATCTTATAAAATGTATGAGGTAATTAGATGCAATATATTGTAATGCACGCTGAAAATTCCATACCTGTACTACAAATACTGTTTGGAATAAAGCTGTTATTATTATTAATATTTTTATTAAAATCATGGTCAGGATTGACAGAAGTCGATCAGGTGTTCCAGAATACAGCTTCGCACACATTTTACTTCTCCCTTGTAAAACCATGCTGCGGGAATATGTCCTCGTATCTGTGTGGAAATCGGCGTCCTCTGACTACGGTTAATGTACCCAGCTCCACAAGAGCAGGTGAACTGATAGATGCATATAGAGGCGGCCAGACGGGGGAGCTTATCTTTTACAGAGATAGAGAACAACTTGCCGCTGGTGAACGTCATTTGTAATTTTCCTGCAAAGAACGTCTTACACTGATTGATTTAGAGAGACGATTTTTTAGCATATTTGAAGCTCGATCACCTTTGAATTCCAAGTTTATGAATAAGTTTTTCCTCGGAACTGAGTTGGTGACCAGTTTAGACTGTTTATCTTTCATGTTACTGTCAATAAATCGGTTCGAGTAACCGTTTTCTTCAAACTTGGCTTTTGAGAAGTCAAGTCCTAAGTCAACGTAATCAGAACTGCAATAATTCCTTATCCTAAAGCAGAGCGAATGAATTAGGTTCCTTTTCCTGGAGATAGGCATCGAACTATAAAATTTACTTAGTTGTCCATTCCATGTACGCTTTCGGTGGATGGATCTTTTGAAAGATCCGTCATTACGTCTACTAAGGCACACATCAACAAACGGAATATTGAGTTCAGATTGGTTTTCTATGATGAAGTGTAAAGAAGGATGCCAGTTGTTGAAAGCATAAAAGACGTCATCAAGAATTACGTTATTATCGCAGATACCGACAGTGTCCTCCACGTATCTTTTATAAATGCCGAAATGATCGATGGTCTGACTAAGTTGAGAATTTTCAAGATTTGCCATAAAACAATCAGCCAGTAGGGGCTCCATAGAGATCGTAATTCACTTATAACCAGGTTCATCCAGCTGCAGGACAAGTCCCAGATAGGATGAACTCCGTATCCTGGATTCCACCGCTAATCACCATCCACCAATTAACCTCTAGTTTAGAATTACTGTAAGTTTGGGTAATCGTAACCTCAGTCCTAGACCTAACGAGTTAGATATTTATAAATATTATATTTGTAAAATCTCAGCGAGAATGAAATGAGTAATTCCAACCTTTCGTTCGGCAATCTGGTCTGAACTTCTTCAGGGAAATTAATCGAAATTAACATAACAGAGATTTATATATAAAA